AGCCATGTTTGTTCCGAGATGTGGGTAGCTCGAACGGGAGATTGTCGGACGTGATGTCACTCAACTCGGAATTTCCGCACCATTACTTTGACTCCGCTAAGATCACCACGTCGTCAGCAAAGTCAAGATCAGTAAGTCTTTCTTCATCAACAGACACCCCACAGCTGCTGGACCCCACGACTCTACCCAGCACCCAGTCCATACAAGCATTGAACAGCGTAGGAGCAAGAACACACCCCTGGAGAACCCCAGAATCAACTGGGAAGAACACGGAGTTCTGCAGGAGTCTCCAGCGTCTGCCCCCGAGAATGTGATCGATCTCCTTCGTCACACCACCAGTATTTTTAGTGCCAAGTCCAACGATGCGGCTCAAGACGTTGGAACCAGGATCCAGCGATCCGCAGCCCCTTACCTTTCACAAAGTCAAGGAACACGGAGCCACTTTCACTGCAGTCTCCAGACTCATTGGGACCGACACAATCCTCATAGCCAGCCCTGTCAGTGCCAGTGGCTGCTTTGAAGTCACCCATAACCAGAGGAGTGTCACCTCATGGGCACCCTTCAACCACCGAGCGAAGTTGCGAGATCGCTCAATGAGATATCACTCACCGCGGTAGGGAGCATACACTGAGACAACAGACAAGACACCTAAGGAGTGCCTTAGCCTAAGTCTCATAATATACTCGTTGAGAGGAATGACATCAGACACCATCGGAAGGAGCTGATCCGCTACAGCAACAGATGCTCCCTGAGTATGGCAGCCATCAGACCGGCTAGACCAAAAGTAGGTATACCCACCTTCCAAAAATCTGGCCACTCTCCAGTCTGTACCTCAGAGAGTGCTGCCACCGCAAAGCAGAGTTTACAAAACTCCCCTGACAAGAGGAAGATGTTCATCTTGCCAGAGAAGACGTTCTATACGCCTTCCCGGAGGGGTCGTCTCAAACTGGGACCCAGTAGTAGATGTTGATATGCACAGCCTTCTCCAACCTACTTCTCCAAAAATGTGTGTGATACCAGCATTTTTACAGGATTTAGGACAAAAAACCTTGATTGATCATAGCCAGGCAGGAGCCACAATATAAAAGGTCAGGAACTGAACAGTGGTGATGAACGACTCTGTTCCTTGATTGTCCTACCTTGTAGCAGTCTAACTTCTCAATCTTTCTTAGGTGATTTGCATAGGATAGCAATTGACTTTTGGTCACAATAGAGAGTGAGGACTAGGTGCTCTCCTAATTACCATTACTATCGGTTTGATTACACGTGGCCACACAAGCTCACGTCGCAAGGATTGCAATAGTTTGCTGTATTCAAACCATCAGTTTAGTACCATCAATTGTACTAAAATATGTTTTCCTCTGTCACCGGAAACTAAATTTAGCAAGGATTGCAATTTTATTGATGAATCCTTTCAGAACTTTTTATGCAAAAAAAATCATCTATCTGAAATTTACCATTGCTGCTTTTACTAGAGCTCTGTTTGCACTCTCTGAGATGATCATCATCTATGCCTTGCTGTTGGTGGGTTTGTCAGAAATTAAAAATGATTGAAGAGGGGAAAAGTTAACAGTAACTGGTAATAAAAAGCCTTTCTTGGAATATATATGGAAATATATCCATATACAGTGGTACCTCAGAACTCAAACTTAATCCGTTCAGAACTCGGGTTCGAATCCTAAAAAGTTCGAGTTCTGATCGAATTTTCCCCATAAGAAATAATGGAAAACCAATTAATTGGTTCCCGGCCCCAAAAATTACACCTAAATGTTTTTTTTAGCATTTAAACACAAAATGAACAGGATAAAACAAGAAGCATTTTTTTCTTAATGGCTTCCAAAACGATAAAGAATGTACCCCAACACTACCCCTGTCCTGCCCCGATCATCCTCTCCTTCCATGTGCCATGCCCCCCCGTTAACCTAGTGTGGAATCCCCGTGTGATCAGCTGTTTCTGGTTGTCATTAGTCCGCGTTTCAGTTTGTTTCCCCAGTCCGGTCATTGTAACGTCTTTGTGTTGTTCTGCCTGTTCTCAATTAAACCCTGTGTTTCCGGATCGCTTGAGTCCTGTCCCTACTTCCCCAGTCCCGGCTCGGCAGATTGTGACAACCCCAAGCCATGCCCCAACACTGCGCCAACACTAGACTATGCCATGCGGTCCATTGTTTATTTTTATTACTCTGTATTCATTAATTTGTTTGTAAATCACAAACTTTTAGGTTGTAACATTTGTACAACTATTGCGTAACTTTTTGGTGAGCAATGGCTACCAAAATGATATAACGTACAGTGTATTACCTGATTTTTTTCAATAAAAAAGCACTATCACCAACAAACGATGCTATCACAGTGAATGCGAGGCTGAGACTGAAGCGTTACCCTTTGTTTCCACTGAGAGATGTGCCGCGTGACTCATTTCCCTGCGCGTACAAGTTATCTTAGGTCAGCATTCACGGTTCGACTTCTGAGAGATCAAGTTCTAGGTCATTTTTTTTTGGGTTGGTTTGACTTTTAAGAAATTCGCGTTCTAATGAGTTCGAGAACTGAGGTACCACTGTATTCCAAAGAGATGATAATGTGCAAAAATGATTTGTCAGCATTGCTTTGTGTTTACACAACTCATGGCAACACCAACTTGTTTGACAGCCACTGTTGTTAAGTTCTGTTTGGTTATATAGTTCATTTTCAATTCCAAAAAATTTGCAAAAACTTAACTTTTCCAAATATTATTCAGCCCTTAAACACAAATTTATGGTACAAATAAAAAACAATACATGGTTGTTATGTAACATATTATGTAAGATGATGCAGCCAAGTGACGGGGTTAACCTTTGCGGCAAGTATTTCAATGTACAGGAATTGTAGAAAGAAAATTCAGCAAAATGATTTAAGCTCACATGATTACAATGACCGGCTACGCTACTCTGAGAGGCTAAATGGCATGTCTGTGGCTAACCTTGCATTATTGGGTGGGTCTGTCAAGCCTGAATGTCTTATTTTTATGAAGTATTTGCATTGTAGTCTTCTGTGGTGATATTTAAGTTCTGCTTTGCAATCCTGACAGACTGCATTTTCATTCAATTTTAATGTGAAATGTTCCCACAAAATGCATTCACTCCTAATTTGGATTCTCATCTGCTATGCTCCATATTGCCAAGTAATTGAGAAGGAAAATTTTAATAGAGTAATCATGATAGCTCTGCAGAATTTTTTCCCCCATTTATGCTATTTGAGAATAGGGTCGGGCGATGTCTACCTAATTAGCATATGACGACATCTACAGTGAAACATCGCGATGGACGATATCATGGGGGGGTGGGTTGTCTTGTAAAGGTAATTAATTTTTATACTACTTTTACCATAAATTTATTAAGTGCTTAATTACTGCTAGTTTATTACTATTTCTATTTTTTTACACATTTGAGCCCCTTCACAGCCCATCCTCCCCCCCTTACCCAGTCTTTCCTTACTTTTCCACCGTATGATCTGCTACATTACTTATGAATACAAAGCATAGTGTGAATCTCAAATTGCATACTTCAGTACTTAAACTTATTTTGATTAAGTGAATCATCCATTTGCTTCTTTCGTATTACTTGCATTGCATGTAATTACGTGTGCTTTGTGTAATAGGATTTTCCACTAAATGCTAAATCCACCTCTCAAAAGTTTTTTACAAAGATTGCAAACAGCTGTGCTACTACCTGTTGATTCAAATGTAAAATACTCAGATGGTCACCCACTTATCTGATGTTCTCCTACTGCAAAGGGGACACTAAAAGTCAAACATTTTTGCACACCACGGGTTTTGGCCACTTTTTAATTTTTTCATAAACTGCCGATTTTTTATTCTTGTTAAGCATTTGGAAGGTTGGTTGAACAACTATAAATGAAAATATAAGTAAAATAAAACAAGTTTCTTTTATAACATGGAACGAGTATGTAACAGTATGACATCTTATTAACTAGTTCAAATTCATTAAATTTAAATGCACCAGTTTATGGTTTCATCCTATGAAACAGAACAGTATTTTAATGTCCGTTGTAGAAAGAATGCCTTGACTTTTCCTTGCTGTTATTACTGCTAGAGTTAGTTACTGTGATGAATCAAAGATGTATTTTATTGCCAATAATGGTACTGAAATGGGGAACATACTGCAAATTTGTTGGCAAAAAATATTGAATGTATTTTTAGTTAAATGTGAGTAACTTAAATGTTAAATTTTAGTGTTAACTTTTGACTGGTGGTGTATGTACATGTAATGTTCTGAAAATGCACAGTACAAAATAAAATAGACATGATTTCACAGCAGGCAGAAGTCACTGTGCTCACATCCACTGAGTGGCAAATAGACTGAGTGGCAGCATTAGCACTCAACTTGCACTCAGCTGAGCATTAGCACTCAGCTTGAATACCGCAAAAAACACATCTAAAATGGGAAAGAGTTGTGTGGTTGATTGTACAAATCAATTTAAAAAGAAACAGGAGCTTTTTTTTTTTTTACACTGTCAAACTAAAGTATTGGACGTGGATTAGTCACATACGGTTGATACCCGATCCATCTAATTAGGTATGGATCTGCGTCAATACCAATCAGTGCATCTCTAAAAATATATATCATCATATTACACAGCCCCACTTCTGCCAGTAGTCTGAAGGAATTGCAATTTGTGATCTGCTGTTTGAGAGAGAGTGGTTTGCATTGATGCATCCTTTTTCACCTCCATTCCAATGAAGCACATGTACAAGCAATGCCCCAAATATATTTTTTTTGTTGAATATTGTTTGTTGAATTTGAATTATTGTTACACTGTAGAGTTCTTGACTTTCCTATAAGTCCTAATCATTCTTGAATATGTTTAGTTTTACTGACTAATATCTGACATTTCTAATATTTGTGTGGAATTGATTAATATAAATTACCAGAACTGAAAATCATTGATTTTTGCATATTATGCACTATAAATATTAACTACTTTTTCCTTTCTCTTCAATGTAGGAATTGCACAGCTCAATATTTTCCTTGATGAAAGGATAAAGCTTCACCTCAACTGAACAGCAGTGTTGAAATTTTGGGACTTTTATTCAAGACTGGAGTAAGCACCAACCTAAGGCAAGCCAGATTCATTGTATGGAACTTGAACAATTTGACCCGACTGTGCAGCAGTCTGTCCACATGGCAGAGTTGGAAGCTGAAAGTATTACACTTGGACTGAACACACTAGCATCAGAGTGTGTTACAGCAAGCCTTAACACACTAGTTTCTGATTGTGTCATGCCAAGTCTCAATACACTGGCTTCTGAATCTCTCATGCCCAGCCTTAACTCACTCACACCAGATTGTGTGACATCAACTCTTAATACCTTGACATCTGAGATCGTTGAGCCTATGGTCATGTTGCCATGTGTGAAAAGTGAACCTAACCTAGACACGATTCGTACTGTGGACCTTTCTGAAATACAGCCTCTGAGCACTGCCGAGCTGGGTTCTGAGCAAATAAAAATGGAAATCAGTGGCCTTGATTACATCAAATCTGAGCACCACAGTGAACTCCATTTTCTTCATGGTACAGAGTTGGAGACCTACAAGGGGCAATATGAATCGAGTTTGGTGTTTGATTACATTACTCATGTGTCTGACAGTCTGGAATACATCAAGTCAGAGCATCATACTGATCTTCAGTGTTACTATGCTGCTGACCTGGGCACAATTAAAGGTGAATATGAATCTAACTTGATATCTAGTCACAAAATGGAGATGAATGGCTTAGAGTCTATTCATATGGCTGAGCTTAGGACAGAGTTAAACAAGCTCAGACCTGACAGTGTCATAGATTGCATAGGGAAAGCAGATCCTGAGTTTGGTGCTGGAAGCCCCTATGATTTGCCATCTGTCCAGGATGGTAAAGGGAATGTTGGCCATGGTAAAACTGGGGGAAAGGTGCAGAGCACATCGCAGCGCAAACCACGTAACCTAACTGGTGAAAAGCCGTTTTCGTGCACTCAGTGTGGGAAAAACTTCAGCACTTTAGGAAACCTGAAGACACACCAGCGCATTCACACAGGAGAGCGGCCCTACAGCTGCTCCCAGTGTGGAAAGAGCTTTGGTCAGGCAGGAAATCTAAAGAGGCACCAACTTATTCACACAGGACAGCGACCATACAGCTGCAATCACTGTACAAAAGGCTTTACCAAAGCTGATGACCTAAGGGCTCATCAGAGGATCCACACTGGTGAAAAGCCCTACAATTGTACTCAGTGTGGCAAGACCTTCAGTCAGCAGAAAGAACTGAAAGTCCACCAGATGGGTCACACTGGAGAACGGCCCTTTTACTGCAGTCACTGTGGAAAAAGCTTCAGTAAGGAGAATAGTTTTAGGACCCACCAGCAAATTCACACTGGGGAAAAACAGTACAGCTGTTCCCATTGTGGGAAGACTTTCAGCAACTCTGGAGTTCTAAAAACACATGAGAAGATTCATTCTGGAGAGAGACCTTTTTGCTGCAGCCAATGTGGTAAGAGCTTTGGCCGGTTAGGACATCTTAAAGCACATCAGCAAATTCACACTGGAGAGCGGCCCTATTCCTGTCTTCAGTGTGGGAAGAACTTTAGTCAGTCAGGCCACCTAAAAGCACATGAACAAATTCATAAAAGAGAGAAACCAGAAAGTTCTAGCAGTGGCAGTTGTAAAAAATAATAGCAATTAACATTTTTAACTTAGTATTACTGTTTTTATAAATGTATTTTTTCCATATTTTTCTTGGCTATCAGTTATAACTGATTTGTTTATGCAAGTGTCTGATGAGCTACAATGATGGAACCAAGGGACTGACAGACAGCTTTGTCATCTGTCTACACTGTACTGTATGGAATGCAATTCCAGCTGTATTCCTCTTGTAGCTATTCACTGTGTATACCTTAATATTCTGTAAATTCTAAACCATGTACTGAAAAGTTATTAAACTAAAATAACAGCCTAAACTTTCTCCATTTCTTTTTTGCTGATATTTACACCTTTTTAATTGTTTAATGCTTAAGTAATTTATTATATATGCTGTCAAATATGAGCAAATCCCAGTCTGATGTCATTTTGAATAGTTTGAGGTTTGGGTTAGTTTATATGAATGGTCTCAGAGTGAGCAGCTTGAGTTATATTACTTTGTCGGTCAACTCATTCCAGTTTTTAAAATAATCTGATGGCCATTTCAAAAAAAATATTACTGAATGGTTTGAAAATACAATCGCTTCTTGAGTAGTTTGTTCTAGAGTAGTTTCTTGTGCCAATATTTTTCCAACATCACTAGTTGAACTACTTTTTCACTGCTTTAACTACTTTTTTTAATCCTCTACAGACCAGAACAATATACACTGCTCAAAAAAATTAAAGGAACGCTTTGAAAACACATCAGATCTCAATGGGGAAAAAAATCATATCTATACTGATATGGACTGGGTAATGTGTTAGGAACGAAAAGATGCCACATCGTTTGATGGAGATGAAAATGATCAACCTACAGAGGGCTGAATTCAAAGACACTTCGAAAATCAAAGTGAAAAAATGATGCGGTAGACTGGTCCATTTTGCCGAAATTTCATTGCAGCAACTCAAAATCGTATTCAGTAGTTTGTATGGCCCCCACGTGCTTGTAGGCATGCCTGATAATGTCGGGGTATGCTCCTAATGAGATGATGGATGGTGTCCTGGGGGATCTCCTCCCAGATCTGAACCAGGGCATCACTGAGCTCCTGGACAGTCTGAAGTGCAACCTGGTGGTGTCGGATGGACTGAAACATAATGTCCCGGAGGTGTTCCATTGGATTTAGGTCAGGCGATCATGGGGGCCAGTCAGTGGTATCCATTCCTTCATCCTCCAGGAACTGCCTGCATACTCTCGCCACATGAGGCCGGGCATTGTCGTGCACCAGGAAGAACCCAGGACCCACTGCACCAGCGTAGGGTCTGACAATGGGTCCAAGGATTTCATCTGATACCTAATGGCAGTCAAGGTGTCGTTGTCTAGCCTGTAGAGATCTGTGTGTCCCTCCATGGATATGCCACCCCAGACCATCACTGACCCACCACCAAAACGGTCTTGCTGAACAATGTCACAGGCAGCATAATGTTCTCTGTGGCTTTTCCGGACCCTTTCACTTCTGTCACATGTGCTCAGGGTGAACCTGCTCTCATCTGTGAAAAGCACAGGGCACTAGTTGCGAACCTGCCAATTCTGGTATTCTATGGCAAATGCCCATCGAGCTCCACGGTCCTGGGCAGTGAGCACAGGACCCACTAGAGGGCATTGGGCCCTCAGGCCAACCTCATGAAGACTGTTTCTGGTTGTTTTCTCAGAGACATTCACACCAGTGGCCTGCTGGAGGTCATTCTGTAGGGCTCTGGCAGTGCTCTTCCTGTTCCTCCTTGCATAAAGGCGCAGATCCCGGTCCTGCTGATGGGTTAAGGACCTTCTATGGCCCTGTCCATCTCTCCTAGAGTAACTGCCTATCTCCTGGAATGTCCTCCATGGCCTTGAGACTGGGTTGGGAGACACTGCAAACCTTCTGGCAATGGCACACATTGATGCACCATCCTAGAGGAGTTGGACTACCTGTGCAACCTCTGTAGGGTCCAGGTATCACCTCATGCTACAAGTAGTGACACTGACTTTAGCCAAATGCAAAACTAGTGAAAAAAACAGTCAGAAAAGATGAGGAGGGAAAAATGTCAGTGGCCTCCACCTTTTGAACCATTCCTGTTTTGGGGGTCGTCTCATTGTTGCCCCTCTAGTGCACCTGTTGTTAATTTCATTAACACCAAAGCAGCTGAAACTGATTAACAGCCCCCTCTGCTACTTAACTGACCACGTCAATATCCCAGAAGTTTAATTGACTTGATGCTATACTCTGATTAAAAAGTGTTCCTTTAATTTTTTTGAGCAGTGCATTTTATACACTCTGTTGGCATATTACAATTAGGGATTTTCACATCAGTCTATCGATAATTATCAGGATATAATTCACGAATCATTGTTTTCAATAATTCATTATTTCCTTACTTAGGATTCTCCTTAAGCAGAATGTGACAAGGATGACAAATTGAATGGACTGCAGACTGAAATCTAATTTTAATAAATTGTACAATTTTTTTGTCATAGAACAAAACACTGGAAATATGCTTACTGTATGGTTTATTGCTCAGTTTATTTTTCTGCCTCACCGCTCATTAGTTAGGTTGCTAATAGTTAGGTTGCTAGTAGAGTTGCCACCCGCCTGGCATTTGATAATAAAATGCTGTGTTCCATTTTGAACGAATATGGGAGACAACTGAAAGTTGCTACACTAATTTCAGGTGTCTGTGACTGTATGCGCTTGCATTCTGTATGTTCTACTGGATGGCAATGCTTCGAGTGGTGGAATATTCATAGTATTCCTATTTTAGTCAGCACCAGCCAGTTGCATGTCATAGGCTTTTTTAAATTGCCAAAGTACTACCACACCACCAACGCCTTTTAACCTGGTTTATCGACAATATCTCCCATTTTAAAAAATGACGTGGCTGCTGTGCTTTCTTCACAACACTGAAATTTACTCTGGGCAGTGTTTTTCTCTCTCATTATTCACAAGCATTGCTAGAATAGTGGTATTCAGAGTGCTAACTCAACAAACCTTGCTGGGCATTTGTTTTGCATAGGTGAATGGAGGCAAGTCAGTTTATTTTAGTCAGCGCCAAAAACGCTGCTGCTAGCAATCTCTGTTGAGTATTGCTGTGTGGATTTCTCATGGACTGAATTTTACTGTGCACTTACGTTTTGTATTTCAATGGATTACCCCTATTGGATGGGTTGCTCTACACTTACTTGCTCTCCCGGTGAGTTGCCCTGTTGTTTTGATTGTGTTGTCTTTTCGTCTTACTTCCTGCTATATTGCATTCTGTTTTGTTCAATAAATCCAGTTTGTTTGTGTCTGCGCTTGTGCTTCATTGCCGGTGTAGACAAGCAGTCATAGAGGAAGGGAAGTCATTTATTCATGATGCAAAAATGTGTCGCCAGGTCTCTCATCATATTGAATATTTGCTACATTGATATTGAGTGGAAATCATATTAACGCCCAGCCCTAATTATAATTGAATTATGTATTGTAGTCATTCATGTACCACCGTCAGTTTTGATAGCCCATCCATTTTCCATCCCAATTCTAGTATACAGTCATGTGAAAAAATTAGGACACCCCATTAAATGTTTATATTCTTTATTAAGAAATATCAACATATCACTCTTAAATCTTCCTTCAAATCATATGTGTAGATAAAGGTGATGTAACTATCACCTATGCAAAAAAAGAAACAAATTCACTTATTTAACAGAAGAAATTAACTATGATGCCAATTTCCACTTAGGAAAAGCCATGAATGAAGAGCAGAGAGGTCGAGAGAGCTAGGTGACCATAGGTCGTAGACGCAGGAAAAGGCGTACACATGTTATAGAG